GATAGGACACATGGTATTAAAATTTCCCACCATCCTGCCTGTACCCCGGGCATTCAAATGAACCTTGTCACTGTATAAGTTAGTGTTAGTGGTACTAACATTGTTACGTGATATTGTGTCATTGTCAATGAAAGAAGCACCATTGTTTTCCGCCACGAGTCGAAGTGATCGATTTAATGAATTCACAGCTGCATGCAAATAGTCGTCTATTGGACACACACTTGAAATACAAATCTTGGATGCTGGATTAATAGCTTTAACTTTGTTAACAGATGATGTGCATTCGTACGATGTCATGTTCAAAAATAAAATTCTGAACATCATTGTTTCCACAATGAATGATAACTGAGTCGCTCTTTGCAATCAATTCTGATATATTGCCAATACACCTTGAAACATTCGGGAAAAGCGCCCCTGACATTGCAATCACTTCGGGTTTGTATAATCTACTTCAAACAATATCTCGGAGAAGTGAACCTCCAATAATAATTGAATTAAGACGATCTGATTCAGATTCATAATTCGGAGCTTGCCGTGGAGAATGAGTGACTTCATAGTGCTCTTCGGAAATACCAGGTGTACATTTTCCATACAGCCATCGTTAGAACTAATCTTGGATTCAAGACTACGTATTCTGCTTTCCAAATCTAGTATATATTTGTTCTGTTGCACTCCTGTTCTCCCCCTGCTGAAGAGGAAGAACTCGGAAAGCGACGATAGGAAGTCAGGGTAATAAATCATGGTTTTTCATTCATCTTTTGTCAAGTGTCGCATACGACTTGTTTACCACTTCCGTGTGACTGAGAATGTTCTAGATTTTGTTTAGAAGTTGGTTGAATAGGTAATAGGACACTGTAGAAGGCAATAGAAGGTAATGGAACATTCTAGAAATTTGTAGTAAGTTCCAGACTCATTATGTATGCTGATGTAATGGTCTATTTATAGACAGTGTGGGTATATATAGGGGAGTTGTTCATCATTGAGATCAGATCGGAGATCTCGTTGAATTGTATTGGAGTTTAAGTATCTAGTTATTGGAGTAGTGGAGTTTTACCGCGTTGCTGTACTTGATGTTTG